TACCAATATGTTAGATGGGCCTATTGTGACATTTGACCTGGGACTACTTGTTTCCTACCAGTGAAGCATTCTAGCCAGTGTGACTCAAACAGTGTGATTTATGATCTTTATGCTATGACTTGCAAAAATACTTGCAATTTCTAACCTTAGGGAAATTCCAAGCATCTTTCCCTCTTGTCTCCTAGGATGATCCTTCTTGCTTTCTTGAGTGTTTTCTTTACATTTCCTCATATTTACTAATAGGCTTTCTTACTGAATATTCCATAAATATCTAGGGCCTTTCATCTGTATAGTTTATCTCTTCTGCTATGTCCCAGAGATTCATAAGTAAAGTCGCATTCCAAAGACTAATAATTCTGTGAAAGTATTCAGAGAGGTAAACTGCACATAAGTATTTGATTAGAAATGAAAACTGACTCCTTACTACTCATTTTCCTTCTCTATGTAAATTTATAAGTCACAAGGCAAAAAGAAGTTTATTTCTATTATAATTACATAGTTTAAATATTTGTTTTGAATTTGTAAATGGCAAATTAATACTAACCAATATGTTTTCTTTACTTTTCAGAAACAGGCACGGCTAGAGAAAAAAATGGCTTATCATTTACAAAAAATGCAGAATAGTGGCTTTAAAGAAGGTATGGGAAGAAGTGCACTTGATAACAGGGGACAAAATGGGATTCCGTACAAGTGTGAGAACAGTAATGACGCTAAATAGTGAGCATTTGTCTGTAAAATATCTCTGTCATGCTTTATATACTCCTATTTGTTACCTACTTTATACCACTTCCTGAACTAATCATTTCCATGTTACTTGTTAAGTTGTAAGATCACACAGTCACACACAGAAATACATTATACACACATATATATGATAGACTAACAATATTAGCAAGTGAGAATGGAGGGAAATTGCACCATATTTTTAACAACTTTCCTATGCTTAAATAATGTATTTATTACTACTAAACTTTAAAATTGGCGTGTAAAATAATTACTATTATATGCCAACATGATGTTTTGCTGTGTTGATAACCAGTAAGAATAAACAAAACCAAGAAAAAAGGAAAGAAGTTGGAGAAAGGCATTCAGAGAAAAGGGAGAAAGAAAGAAGAAAGAAAAAAGAAAAGAATAGAAGGGAGTTTGAAAGCAGTAATGTAGAGTACAGCTTGGCTGTGTCCAGTCCATATCAGCATCATTTTGTTGATAAGATGCTTTTCCTATATTTGCTGCATACTATTGGGAAAGAACATGGTCATCAGTTTTGTTGTCAGTCCCACTTAAGTCAGAGCCTCCCTATGTCACTCCAGTAGATACTAAACAGTCTCAGTTTTTTCCTGTTTACCTATCTCAAACCCATTTTGTGTACACACATTTAACTCTGATGATTATCTTCTGTTGCCCTCTGCCCACAAACTGTTGCATATTAAATTCAGGTTAGACTGTATGTAAACATTCGTTCATCAGCATGTGGAATCCAGTCCAAATTTGACCTTTAAGTTTTATTTCACAGTGTATGCTTGATACTGACAGCTGTCCTCTGTCGGTGCCATGAACAGGTTCTGGGGCCAGAATATGAAATTTCACCCAACTCCTCCCTTATCATTTTCAGGCCACGTATATAGCTTAGGCAACTTCCTGAACCTCTCAGATACAGTTCCAGTGTCTAAAAGCAAACATTATATCCTAAATTTCTATAAAGACCTCCAAAATTCTAGAACATAGTAAGGCTTCCGATTTTATTTCATAGTGCTGTCAAATAGGAGTACTGACGTTTATTAAACACAGATTGCATTTCCCACTTCTTTGCCTCTATTCGATTTTCTCAGCCTACGATGACCTACCCACTCTGTGCCTTGAATTCTATAAGCTCAATTTTTATCCCATTATGTCTTTCTTGATCATCTTAATTGGAAGATTCCTCTTCTTTGAATCAATAGAAGATTGCAGCCATCAAAATAATTTATATAAATAGGATTTCAATCACTCATAATTGTAAATTTCTATTTTTGTGTGCCATAGAATTTTGAGGAAAATAAACATTCTAAACGTATGTTTGTGAATGTATTAACTCAGTCTATTTACTTCTTTAAAGCCCTAAAGCGGGGCCATGCTTCAGAGTACCAATCACCTTAGGAGTTTTATATAACTCAATATCTATATTAATTTTCTCATGTAATAGGAAAAAATATAAAGTAGCAATCTTAAACATTGTTACCTGAAATCTTCTTTAGAAGACAGGATAGCAATGAATTTATTTATGATATGGAAATCACAAAAATTAAAGATTTTATTTTATAATAACACTATAGTACTGTCTTCTCCCACCAATAAGAAAACTTCTAGAGAGACTGAGAGTAAAGAGAACATGACATTCTATTGCATTGATCAATGAATGAAGAAAGCAAGTTCACATTTCAAAGGTTTAATGAGAACACTGAGCACATATGCATTGAGGATGCTGCCCACCTAAGTTGCTATAGGAAAGCATTGTAGTTACCTCCAGCACAAGGAAGGGATATATTTGTTATCTATATTATCCTATCTTAAAAACTGTACATATCCATATATTTCTTTATATACTCATATACCACATATTCATACCCATATATATTTACTTTTCTCAAGATGTAAGGAAAATCCTAGAATCTAATAGTCAGTGTGTGCTGGGGGAAATCTTAATCCTTACTACCATGTGGGTATGCATTCCCACTGAAAGGAAATGAGATGGCTCAGTAGACTGTGGTACAGGTTTCCTTTCTTCTAAAATATAACCTTGTCTCTCCATATATACCTCTTAAGTTAGAGGCATAAAATTTCAGAAATAATTATTAGCTCTCACTTGACATTTAATACATTCTCTCCTATCTTTCCCCAAAATCTCATGTACAGATTACTAAGGACTTACTTACTTCCTCTTGAGCATGAAAGAATAGTCTATCTTGGTTAATTCTTTAATCACCATTAATCACAAATGTTTTGTTATATTTCTTTAAGCTTCTACAAAGAAGAAAAAGAAAACTTTTGATGATATAAACTCTGTTTATCCTGTTGGTGAGCAGAAAGCATATAAAGGAACACAGGGTAATTGAATATTTTAAGGAATACAGATACTTAGATCAATAATTTGAGGGAAGACTGAGTTGGCTATGACTGCCTTCATTTGGATGCAGATAAACCCTCTTATTTTCTTCTGATAAATGATTGATTTAGGGGGATTTTGACTTTGCTGGTTTTGGGGACCTAATTTCTAGGTAAGTGATTTACTGTTTTCAACTTGTCCATGTACTATCATTTTAGAACAATTAGTGAAAGATTTGCTACAAGTAAATATAGAACACAGATTACCTAATTGTTAAATATGTTTATTGCTCAAAATGACTACAGAAAACTTAGACATAATTTATAAATAATATATTATCTTCAAACCACTGTGAGCATTATTGAATTACTGCTTTCTACATTACTTACACTTTGTCATTTTGTGTTTTCCACTAGAGCTCAACAGTTTACACCATGAGCCCCCAAACAACAAGAATGCACTCTAATTATACACTATGAAAATGAAAAAATTTAAGTTGAAGAATGTCACTTAATTCTCACTATTCATTTTCAAAGTTACAATTAATGTGTCAATATACAATAGCACATAGCATAACATATATAATAACAAATATAAACTTACTGATTAAAATATAAGGCAAACAGAGTCCAATATTTACCTTCCTTGAATATGTAATTATATTAGTTATTTTTGTGTTGCTGTGATAAAAACCATGACCAGGGGAACTTAAAAATAAGGTAGAGGTTTTTTGAATTTGCGGTTCCAGGTTCCAGGGATTATGGTCCATCCTGGGGAGAGGCAAGGTGGCAAGAGGTGATGGGAGTAGGAAGAGGAGCACTCACAACTTCAAGCAGGCAAAAGAAGCAGAGGGAGACTGGAAATCCTGAAAAGCTTCAGAACCCTCAGAGCCCACTGCCAGTGATAGGCTTCCTCCAGCAAGGCCACACCTCCTATAACCTCACAAAACAGTGCCACCAACAGGAGACAAAAATTTTTAAGTACTTGGAGTCTGGGGAATATTCTAATTCAAACCACCACACTCAAATTCAGAAACCTGGCAAAACAACAGGGCTGCTTTAACTTTATCTGTCTGGTACACTGAGGATCACTGAGTTTGAGCTTATTCAACTCCTAAGATCTATGAGTTCCATTTTAATGTCTAGCTTTTCCACACATACCAAAGAATTTTTTCAATACAACTCAAGTCCATATCTAATAAGATATATTTACACACAATAAAACAAAATTGTTAGTTTCTAAAGTAGTTACTTCATGCTAATTCTAAAGTCATTTTTAACGTTGTCAAGACTGGCCTTATACCTGTCAAAGAGTCTTAGTCATATCTAGGACAAGGATGAAGGATGAAAATATTTTTTTATCTTCACCAGACCACCAGTGTACTGTGCAGTTATTTGGAGACCAAACTTTTGGACTGAATTAAGGAGAGTATGGAGAAATATTCTGTAAAAAGGAGGCAGGGGTGTTGAATAGTACAGTATAATAGAATAGTGTAATTCTTCTAACATTATTTTATTATTTTTAGTTTTCAAAACCAGCATGAGTCTTTTACTACATTTGCCTTTCTGCCTAAATTTTTAAAATTAGATTATATTATGCAAAAATTACAGTTTAAAAAAAATTTTTTTTGGTCTTTTTGAGACAGGGTCTCCCTGTAGCCCCAGCTGTCCTGGAACTCACTATGTAGACCAGGCTGGCCTTGAACTCACAGAGATCCACCTGCCTCTGCCTCCCAAGTGCTGGGATTAAAGGTATGTGCCACCACACCCGGCTGCAGTAAATATTTTAAGAACACAGTGTATTAAATATATAGACCTGGGGGCTGGAGAGATGGCTCAGCAGTTAAGAGCACTGGTTGTTCTTGCAGAAGACCCAAGTTCAAATCCTAGCACCCACATAGCAACTAACAACTGTCTGTAACTCCAGTCCCAGGGGATCTGACAGCCTCTTCTGACTTCCGTGGGCATTGCATGACATGGGTGCACTTACATACATGCAGGCAATACGCATATACACATAAGATAAAAATAATAAATAAAATAAAAAAACGTCTAAATATATAGACCTAGCTGAGGAGAAAAGACATTTTTATTATACAATATCTACCAGTCTATATACAGTATATATTTCCTTTTGTTTAGTTCATCTTTGATTACTTTTATGTGTTTGACAGTGTTACCATACAGATTTTATACATATTGTGTTATATTTATATCTAAATGCTTATTTTTGATACTGTTGTAGAGATTTTGGTTGTTTTTTTTTTTTTTTTTTGGTCAAGGTCTCCCCTTGTAGCCCAGACTGGACTCAAACTTGTAATCAGCCTGCCTCAGCCTCCCATGTACTGAGATTAAAATCATAAGCCACTACACTCACTGTGCATTCTTTTGCACTTTGGTTTCAAATAAGTAGCCCAAGGTATTGTTTTATTGCACTCTATGTGCTGATTCTGTAGGAAAATTCTAGGCCAAAATCTACATTGTTCTTCAGGTCCAATTAGGAGTCAACACTTAACTTTTCGATGGAGTATTCCACTTTTACTACTAAATGTATCATATTAATTTTTCTTCCTTCACAATTTCCATATATATATATATAATACATATATATATTCAATATACAATTAGATGATATGGTAAACTTGACTTTATGAAATATTTATTTAAAAAATTAACAAAACAAAACTGACGCTCCATTTCCCAGCAGCTATCAGTGGCTAACAGTTCCTCAGATAGGGCTTGGGCTTCATGCCAGCCTCCCTGTTCCATGTTGGGATTTTATCTGATTTGGGCTTGTGCAGGTCTTGTGTGTGTTGTCACAATGCTGTGGGTTCATATGTGAGATTGCCCAGTTGTTTCCAGAAAACATGACTTCCTCGTAGTCATTCCTTAGCTCTTTTCTAGGTCTTAGATTCTTTCTTACTCCTTTTCTGCAATGCTCCCTAAGCCTTTAGGGAAACGGGTATGATGTAGAAGTCTCATTTGGAACACAAATTAGACTCGCTAGGCCTTTTAAAAATGAGTATATGCATATATATATATAAAGGGAGAGAGAAAGAGGGCATGAAGTGGGGGGAGGGTAGGGGCGGCTGTGACAGATGATGGGGGGGCTGAAAATGAGTAAAAATTATTTTTAAAAACTTTACAAAGGGAAAAAATGTCCAATATGTTTACTATGATTATTACCATTTGCTTTTCCTTTAAATGCCTGGTGTCTCAGTATGTTTTCTGGTGTCTTATCAGTCTGTGTGGCTTCTTTTGGCATCTGTTTTATGACAGCTTCTCTTACATTAAGAAGTCTGAGTTTCTTTCATCTCATTTGAGATAGATTATACGTTGATGCTTGAGGAGATGGCTCACTTGTTGAAGTGCCTGTCATGCAAATGTGGACCTCACTGACCAGCCTAGTTGAATAGATGAGCTCCCTTCCAATGAGAAAGACTGCCTCCAATATAAAGGAGGAGAGCAACTGAAGAAGACATTTGCCGTTGTCCTCTTTCCTCCACATGCATGCACACATACTAGTATTCACAGCTAATGCAGATATGCCCACACCCACATGAAAATGTAGGTATGTCATGTATACACACAATGAGACAAAATATTTTTCCTTCATGTTTTCTCTAGGGTTCTGGTAAAATACCTATATATTTTAATTACTGCTTATATAATACAACCAGTATGGTATTATATCCAGGCTTCTGTGACTTGCTTTTCATACTCAGCACTGACGTTTTTGTCCAAATTTTTATAGCTTTTAAGAATTTTTAAGCTTTCCTTGTAAATACTTCAAATATAAATAAAACCAAACAGAACGTGATAGTGTAGACTTGTGTGCCTATTGGTTTCAACAACTCATGAACTGTTTTGTCTGTGTCTGCAACCATATTGTTTTGAAGTAAATCCCATATGCAATATCATTCATCAATATTTTAACATGTATCACTAAAAGATCAGGAATATTTTTAAAATATGGGACTAAAACATCATCATCACATTCACATACTAATAATCGATAGTTACTTATCTGTAAATAATTAAATACTATTTACATTTTCAGTAGCATGAAAAATTACAAAAAATATTTTCAGGTTAGCTTAAATGCACATTGATCAGAATATAAATAGGTTCTTATTTTTTTATTTTCTTTGAATGCACTCCAATTTATTTTTTTCCTTGTTTTCTTTTTCACCCTTTTATTATTTTTTGTTTTATTATTTTCCTATTATTTGTGAAAAATAGATTTTATTATAAATGTAACATATCATAGAAACGGACCAAAGAACAGAAATAGCATGGCCATCCAGTGGATTCCTTTATCCCACAATGGTAGAAGTTGTGAAGAATCTCAGACCAGAAAGAACATAACATAATAAAGACTATATATGACAGACCTATAGCCAACTTTATACTTTAGAGAAAGCTCTAAAAAGCCTTTCCACTAACATCAGGGCCAAGACAAAGTGGTCTACTCTGAACTCTTATTCAATATATTACTTGAATTCTTAGCTAAAGCAGTAAGACAAGGAAATAAAATATATGCAAATAGGAAAGAATAATTTGTGATCAGTGTGATCCTATACTTAATAAGGCACAAAGACTGCACCAGAATACTCTTAGATCCTTTAATCACTTTTGGGAATGTCCAAAGATACCCAGTCAACATACAAAAACACAAAAAAGATTTAAGCTTCCTAATAGTAATATGTAAAACATATTGAAAAAGAAGCTAAGAAAACAATCCAGTCACAGTAGCCTTAAGAAACACCTGAAGCAAATGTAACCAAAAAAACAAAGCAAAAGAGTTTAACAATCAAAGCTCTAAAATACTGAAGAAATTGGGCTGAAGGGATAGCTCTGCCATTAAAGGATCAGGCTAACAGCCAAAATACTGAAGAAATTGAAGATGACAGTGGAAAGCTAAAAAGCCTATACTTATGGATCAGCAGAATGACTGTCATGAGAATGTCTGTACTACCAAAAGCAATCTACAAATTTAATGT